AAGCCCAGCAAATGCTGTGCATTATACTTTTATAGAATTTCTACCTCTTAACAAGTGGTAACAAGTGTATAGGTATCGATTCACTATGAGGTAAGTTTTGTAGTGTGCCAGTAGAATATGCAGATCACTGAGGTGGGATTTTTATATAAACAACATGGAAGGTCTGTTTATTTACTGGCTGGCTCAATGAACAGATCAAAAGCATAGGCTTCCAGCTAATCAGAGAAACTTGGCTGAGACACATAAATTTAAGCTAGTTATAGCTTCAGAGAGTGCTTTGAATTTTCTTTAATACTTTCTACCACAAACCGGCTTCCACTGACTAGCCACTAGATTGGATCCTCTCACACAACAAGGATTCTACCCACAACACCCTGCCCTTTCCCAATTGTTAGACTAAATGGTACAAGGTCTACTCATTACTAGAGACAGGACTAACAATCAGGTACTCTATTCTCTCCCAGAGGTAGTACTAACCCCCTTTGCCACACTACCAGGCAGAGCTACTCTTCACTCTGTCTTCTCTTTTTCTGAGCCAGTCCTGAGCTATCACTGCTCTTTCTCCTGAGGCAGAACTGAACTCTCTTTGCACTCTCTCTGAGGCAGACCTCAACTGAACTCCTGCTGTGCTTCCTTCCAGCATTCCATCCCTCTCCTGAAAGGTGATTGGATGCCGGAGCAGCATTCCCATAGGCTCAGCTGAGTGGCTGTTTTTCCCTTCAGGGGCAGGAAAGCCTCCTGTCCTTCACAGGCATCAGTAAAAGTGAATGAAAATGTGGGCTACATATCCCGTTCGGAAATCTGTAGCATTTCTTCCCTCCCCAACATGTTTCCAGACAATATACTGCCCCCTCTCTGATTAGTTCTGCAACATCAACATGCAAGCATCTGATTAAACTGCATGCTGGTCGAAAGACCATAATAAACAAACAAACATGTAAGCATGTATGACTAGCTGTGCGACAATGTGACATCATCACACTGGCAGTATGATCCCTAATTGGCCTGGCTCTTGCTATCAGTAAGAAAAGATGAAATTTCTCTTTAAACAAGTGGTGCCGAAGCAGTTAACAAGACAGAGCAATGACCAGAAAAAAGTAGGCCTTTTGTCAGTTTTGGAAAGATATTTGAGGCACAAAACTCCCTTTTTCATTCAAGTGGAATTTATGATACTAGTGCCAGGGACAAAGAAGATATGCAGCTTAATTGGGTAGCCACATTTGAAGCAGCCAATAAGGAAGCATGATTTTGCCACTTATATTGTGGCAACACCTCCTCCATGCTGGATTTTCTGTTGGCTGCTGACCCACCTATCTTCTCTGTAACATCACAGGATTTGCCAGCTGCCTTTGGGGCTCAGTGGGAATTTGGGATGTTTCCTCTGCTTGGCTATTGAGGAGGCCCTTTCTTGCCTGCTTTATGACACTGTGGTAGAGGTGGTTAAATAAGCCTGGTCTTTGGACTGTTTGGGCTATATCTAGTTTGGCAGAGATAGGGCAGGCTAATCACAATAGGTAGGGATGATGGGCAAGCACCCAGAGGCATTAGCGGTGATGGAGGCTATGTCTGGAACAGTGTATCACTGTGCTGGGCAACATCTTTCTGAACCTGGTAACAGCCTAGCCGCGCATCAGGGAAAGGGGCTGGGGCTGGGCACCTCTCGGCACATTGCGTGAGGCCAGCGGAGGATGCATGTCAAGTTTGGAGTCAAGGTGGGTCTGCCCAACAATGGTAGACATTGTTAAACTGCCTAGCACAATCTGCCCCTTCAAATAGCATATTTAATGATATGGCATAGATATGCATAATTAATTATTTCAATAAAATAGTTAAACCCACTGCTGTTGTCTCATGTCTTCACTGGGGAGTGCCTGAGGCAATTGTTTACTCTGAAAATATACAGTGAAGTCCTAGTCACTAGCTCCAATTGCAGGGGCCCCTTTATACTTCTTGCTTAGATAAGAATATTGACATGGCTTGCCATAAAAAGCATAGAAAACTTCATTGTATTTTCTCACTATTTTCTCAACCTTCAGGAGAGAAGTAGTACTTAAAATGAAAACAGTACCAATAAAAAATGCTGTCTGACCTAAAGAAAATACCCTGAAGGACATAAAATCAAATTCCACCCAGTTACACACAGTTATGCCCATTTCAGGATCTGCTCCAACAGTATTTAAATTATGACCTTTGAAGCAAGTGTGAATATGAAACAAAGAAGAGGAAGAATGTACATTTTAAACATTCAAACAACTATGTAAACATAGGTAACACCTCACATTGTTATCACCATCTCTATGAAGTTTCCTGTTTCTCTCAAAGCCTCTAGCTTATCTACCCATGGGATTTCCACCAGAATTGCTATCTGCATTGCAATGCCAACCTTTCTGGCTATAGCAGAAAGTCTGAAGAGATGAAACTTGAAAGATGAAAATATAGAAGACTAAAAAAAAATACACTTGTGAATGTTGCAAAAGAAAATGTCACATTTTATGGTGACTGGCATGGTGCTTTTACAGATGAGGCGACCCTTCTGGAATTCCCTTTTGGATGGGTTTACATTTGCATATCTTTTGGGAGCAAAGCACTTCCTGGTATGATTTCTTAAAACATTTTTATTCTTGTAATACCATTAAACTAAAAAAAAAAAGGGGCTAGAACCAAAGGTACCCTGTGTGCCCAATGCAAGTGATACCCAAAGTGCTGGTGGGGCTTGGCCCTGCTTATTCCTGTCCGCTAATAGATCTTCATGGCAGTATCCCTCTGGGAGCTTTATTAAATGGTTAGTCCACCCTTGGATCCAACCCTGTTTTGTTGCCATATTTCTATGTCTTCAGCCTGAAAGGGCCAACAGGAATTTACTTTAAAAGTTTCGATGAAAAATATATTCTTATTTTAACAGAACTGCAATTTAACTGGAGTTACTTGCATTCTAATTATCTTTCCATCATGATAACATTGGCTTTCTTGGTTCATGACATCATTAACAGCTGGCCAGATGTCTTGCAAGATTGTTGGGATCATCAATACACAGAAGCCAATGTTACAAATGTGAAAGAGCTCTATGCTGTGACTTGATTCTAAAAAAAAAAAGTCCCATTAGCAAATTACTAACCTTTTCCCCAGCTTGACCAGGCCCACCTGAGTCTCCTGTTGGACCTGCACGGCCTTTGGGACCCTCAGGACCATCTTCTCCTCGAGGACCAAGGGGACCAACTTCACCCTTTAAAAAAAGTGTAAATATAGGATGTAAAAATCTACACTGCCTTTCACAGAAAGGTTATCAAAGATCTGGCTGAAACCATCAAGGGTAAAGAATTCTCCCATGGGTTAGACATAAACTTTTCAGACACTTTGAAGCTATTGGGAGGGGGGGGGATTCTGTTCCCCATCCCCCAGGAAAATACGAGAAGAAAAAAATGAAATATATGCAACACTTATTTCCTATCAAACTGAAACTTCTTTTACTGATTTAACTTAATTAGCACTAGCTTCCAAGATCTTATGAAACTGGGCTAGCCTGGGGCATTCCAGGTCAGGGCCACGCTAGCCACAGGACCATTTAACTGGACGTGAGTTATTCAGTGTTACAAACCCAATGACTGTGACACAAATTGCCAAATTAAAATTCATCAGCAAGTCTTAACACACCCCTCTCCAATGATCTGATGAGGAGCTGGGAATCCTCAGTCACTGCAGGTGTTAACTACTTAGCAAAACTAAGGCAATTAAATTTATCACCATTTACTGCTATTGTGCCTCATCCTATACTCCTGCATTTCATGGTTGATGACCCTCCTAACAAATGTTCTTCATACCCTTCTGTGTGTACATATGTGTGTACTGAAAGCACTGCACTGGCTGCCGATAGAGTACCGGGTCCGCTTCAAAGTGCTGGTTCTTACCTATAAAGCCCTATATGGCCAGGGTCCAGTCTACCTGAGGGACCACCTTTCCCCATACATTCCCCCAAGAGCACCATGGTCGGGGGCCCAAAATTTGTTGGTCATGAGATCTGGGCCCTGCGGGACCTTATGCAGTTTCGCGGGGCCTGCAAGATGGAGCTCTTCCACCAGGCCTTTGAGTAGGAGCCCCCGCCCCTACTATACCATCACCGTCATGGTTGACGAGGCCCTGAGGAAGCACCTGTATATGGCAAAGAAGATCTAAGCTGTTCTCCTGTGGGCGCAAACAGCATTGGAAGTACCACCTGGAACTCTATCGATGCCATCTTTGGTATCAGAAGTTTGAGCACCGTTGTTTTTAAGTATTGGATGTTTTAATGGATTATGTTTTAAGTTACTATGTATATTATGTTTTAATTATGGCATGGTTTACCTTGCCCTTGTTAGCCGCCCTGAGCCCATTGGGGAGGGCAGGATATAAATGTGAAAAATAAATAAATAAATAAATATATTCTTAAGAGGACTCACTGCTCACACCTCATGAAGTGGGTTCTTGTTTATTCCCCCCCGCCATAATATAGCGCCTTTTGAGATTAACTGATCATAACAATTGGCTCTGAGCCATTTTCTCTCAGGAGAGACCAGTTGGATTCATTCACACAGAGTGATCCACCCACCCACATCCTTCACAGACATCAAAACCTTTAGCATGTTGCAAACAGCGAATATACTTGGGAGGGGGGTGTCACAGTGTTTGACACATTTCAGTATCAACTGTCTTAATCTTTTATTTATTGATATGATTTTAAAGAAAACTCATAGGATGATGGCTACTTTCTTGTGCTAACACAATGATGATTAATGATGACTAGAACGTGAGTGGACAGAGATCTGGCATATTATAAAGCCTCCTGGTGGCTGTGGAGCATTTCTTCATGGTCTGCCTGAAACCCCTGTCAGTGAAGACCAGATCACTCCCTGTCAAGGTCATGACTGCCTTAACTCAGACAGTGTTCTCAAACAAAGCAGTTTGCTTTTTCCCATGATGTCCATCCACACATACAAGAAGGCACACAAACATAGGCACTGGGGATACCAGTGTGCTGCCTTGGAAGCGCCTCAGAATCTCGCAAGCCTCTATCCTTTTGGGGAAAATAAACAAGAATGTTGTGGCACCCTGCCTATCCCTGGTGACTTATTGGAAGCAAAGAGAGGCCCAGGCTGCTGTTTCTGGCAATGCCACTTCTGTTATGCACTGGAAGTGACATCATCGCATGCTGCCTTGGAAGCGCCTCAGAATCTCGCAAGCCTCTATCCTTTTGGGGAAAATAAACAAGAATGTTGTGGCACCCTGCCTATCCCTGGTGACTTATTGGAAGCAAAGAGAGGCCCAGGCTGCTGTTTCTGGCAATGCCACTTCTGTTATGCACTGGAAGTGACATCATCGCATCACCAGCAACATGGGGATGGTCTGGTATTAGGGCATAAACTCTATGGTAGAAGTAATTTTTACCACATGTTGCCCAAATATCAGAGTGTCCCTGCATCACCCGCAACATGATGATATCACTTCTGGTGTGCGCTGGAAGCAATATTGCCATGTTGCCGGAGATGACAGCTTAGGTCTCCCTTTGCTGATGGGAAGTCCCTCAACTGGTCAGTGGTGGGGGAATGGGCACCATGGTGGGGGATCAGCCATCCACGGTGGGGGCCTGATAACCCCGTTTGGTGGCTCCAGCCACTGAGAAAGCCTCCCTCCCTCTGCATATGCCTGTCCATTCATTGATGCAGCTTTGGTTTAGTTTTTTTTTTTCTTGGCCTCACGGAAGTATGATAGGATGCTGAGAATAGGCTTTTATGAATACAGGTTAAAATACTTACTCTATCACCCTTAAGTCCCATATCGCCTTTAAACCCAGGAAAGCCATCTTCACCCTGAGAGAGGGGGGAAATGCAAAGAGAACAAAAATGACCAAAGTATCTGAAAGAATACATTAGTATAATGCACATACAAACCATGGATATATTGCAGTATGTCACAATAATTTACATTACTAAAGCTGGATCTTTAATACAGCAGTTATTCTATCAGGGAGAAAAACCATATTGCTACAGTTGAATTAAATTACTGTTAAGCTTTAAAAGGGAGAATGAATAATAAGAAAGGTGCTTAAGGCAACATGCACATTCACTTCTTAATTCATCAAGGGTCTGTTCATTACCCTTTGCATTAAATTTCTTCCTTACATTTTCAGTTTTAAGATTTTAATCTTTTAATCAAAAGTCTCATGTTCAAAAGTAAATTGGGATGTACATGTAAAAACACCGACAATGCTTAATTAAAACTACACTCTGGATAGAACTGCACTCCCCTTGAAGGAACAGGTTTGTGGTCTGGTGGCCATTATAAAACGTATCAATACATCTAATTCTCAATGTGCACCCAGTTGTCGATACTTAAATCCAAAGACTGGGTCATGGACAGGTAAGAAAGATCTTTCCACAAAACAGAGAACGCCCCAGGATTGCAGAAAAGTCTGAAATCTTTAAAAAGAGATTAACTCCCCCAAATGATACAAGCTATGACTATAGTTTTAAGAAACAAATGCCCTCAGTGATCATTGCTAGCTAACCACAACAGTATTGCCAGACTTTAAGCCTTGGTTTCTATCAGTAAAATGCAGGGGGAGGGGACAAAGACCCTTCCAGGGCTGTTTTGGCTTTTGAGGGAGGACTCATGGGGGCCAAGCCTGGCAAAAACCATGGGCAACTTGCTATCATGTGACTTACATGACTTACCCAGGTCCAGTAGCTTGCTACAGTTCAAGTACAGTTCAATTCCACAAAAGCCAGTATAGCACAGTGCTTAGAGTTTCAGATTAGGATCTATGAGACACAGGCTCAAATCCCCCACTTTGCTGTAGAAGCTCACTGGATTACTTGGGGCCAGTCACACACTCTTAGCCTAACCTAACTCATAGGGCTGTTGTGAGGATTAAACGGAGGAGAGGAGGAATGTAAGCTGCTGGAGTCACTGGGGAGAAAACTGGGATATATGAGAAGTAAATAGCAATAGCTGGAAATGGTGCCAGATAAAGGTAAGTTGGTGAATGGGTGGGAGGGAGAAAAGGAAATAGGGAAAGTTCAGGATATGAAGGCTATCAGGAGTAGAAAAAAGGGAAATAGTGTAGGAAGGAGGATACATGGAAAATGAGGTCATCCCCCCGCAGTATGTCCTTGCAGGTTCCCTATCTTGCAACTGGGCTCAGCCCAGCTGACACCATGCAAATCAGCCCAGCCTAGTGGAAAGCACCATGCAACTCAGCCATTGATGCTGCCAGGACAGAAAGAGGGAAAACTGAAGACAGATAAAGATAAATTGGCTAGTGGGTGGGAAGAAGAAAGCAGGAAAGGGGAGAGACTATGGGGGTTTTCAGAATGGGGAAAGAAATATTGGGGGAGAGGATAATGAGATGTCTCCCACAAGTTTTTGGGGGTACCTTACTTGCATGTTTACATTCTTATATATGAAACTGTGCAAATTGTTTTAAATCTGGTAGGGCCACTAGGAGCATGATAAAACTGGTTCAGGGGCTGGATTATGCCACTGAGTCACTTGGCTAATTAACAATCCCATGAAAAACTAGCTCAAATAGGGTGGTACTGAGACAATCTTTATCATTCCCAAGGAAAACTGTCTGTGGACAGAACAAGATACAAACAGGGGTCACAGTGTGCAGGTACATGCCAACAAACAAGAAACCACTGTGATCAATGACAATGACCCATTTAATAAATTTTGCATTGAAACAGAGTCCAACGTATTCATTATCTCAATTTTACATTAAAACAAAGTCCAACTTATTCATTTTCTCAACAAAGTCCAGCATTTTCCTCTCTTTACTCGATGAGTACCCCGGTTTTTACACTCATTTCAAAGGTCTTCCTCAAGAGT